AACTTGAAGCTCTGTTTCAAAAAAAAAAAAAAAAAGACTTGGAAAAACTGATTCTGCGTTTTGTATGGAAACAGAAAAAAACCTGTATAGCTAAGGCAGGTCTTAGTAGCAAAAATAAAGCCAGGGGTATCCCTATACCAGACTTCAGGTTATACTCCAAGGCTATAGTAGTCAAGACAGCATGGTACTGGCACAAAAATAGAGACATAGCTATTTGAAATTTAATAGAAAACCTGGAAATGAAACCAACAACTTAACAGCCACCTAATCTTCAATAAACCAAACAAGAGCATCCACTGGGGGAAAGAGTCCCTATTTAATAATAAATGGTGCAGGGAAAACTGGATATTCACATGTAAAAGACTGAAATTGGACCTGCACCTTTCTCCACTCAGAAAAATTGTTTCAAGATGGATAAAGGAATTAAACTTAAGGCATGAAACGATAAAAATTCTCAAAGAATAGGAAAAACACTGGAAAATAAGACATGAATAGAATCTTCTCTAAAGACGATAGATGAATGGCTACTAAGCATATGAAAAAATGCTCATCTGTAATTATTAGAGAAATGAAATTAAAACCACCCTGAGATATCATCTAACCTCAGCGAGAATGGCCTATATCACAAAATCTCAAAACTGCAGATGCTGGCACAGATGTGGAGAGAAAGGAACGTTTTTGCATTGCTGGTGGGACTGCAAATTAATACAACCTTTTTGGAAGGAAGTATGGAGAAACTTTAAAGAACTCAACCTAGACCTCCCATTTGATCCTGCAGTCCCATTGCTGGGCACTGGCGCTTGTACTAGGCTGTTTATTGCAGCCCAATTTACAATCACTAAAATGTGGAAACAGCCTAAATGTCCTTCAACCCAGGAATGGATTAATAAGCTGTGGTATATGTATACCATGGAATATTATTCAGCCATCAAAAATAATGAAGATTTTACAGCATTTGTACTAACGTGGATGAAGGTGGAACACACTGTTCTTAGTGAAGCATCACAGGAATGGAGAAATAAGAATCCTATGTATTCAACTTTGATGTGAAGACAATTAATGACATGGTGGGGCATGGGGGAAGGGGAGACCAGACAGAGAAGGAGGGAGGGGGTGGGGGCAAGGAAAAAAAAGAAAATAGTGACTAAGTCTCATATTAATTGTATTTAATTTTGACCAAAGTACATTACTTAAACATTAATTTTTAATTCAACGTGTTAATATGTTGTTTATCGTATTTCATTCCCATTTATAAGTGAAATATGTTTGTAATTTCTCCTTTATAATAATATATTTTCTCCAATTTTAATATCAGGTGTATCCAGATTAAGTAGAATGATTTTGAAGTATTATTCTATTGTCTATAAGAGTTGGCATGATCTGTTTTTTTGAAATCATCTTTTATTTATAAGTATTAGTTCTCTATTTTTTTTTTTGAGACTTTGGAAAAAACAAAATAAGTTAACTGATCAAAGTATTCTATAATAGACATACTCCTATCTGACAATGTGAATGTTACTTTGCATTATTACTATTATTATTGCTTAATATTTCATTACAGTAATCATCTTTTTTCTGAATGTATTTATCTTAATTCGTTCTTTATGAGGTTTTTGTTCTTGGTCCTTAAGTTAAACATTGTTATTGTCATTAAATTTAGCCTTTTTAATTCTGTAGGAAAAAATTAAGAATAAAAATAGCCAAGTATTGTGGTGAGCACCTGTAGTCCCAGCTACTTGGGAGGCTGAGGCGAGAGGATCACTTGGGCACAAGAGTTTGAGGTTACTGTGAACTATGACACCATGGCACTCTACCAAGGGTGACAAAATAAGACTATCAAAAAAATAAAATATACCATGCATTTATTGTACCCTTAGCCTTGAGAACTTTTGACATTTTTGACTCTGCTTCCTCATATGTTAAACGACCACGTACTAACACTTTGATTCTATATCTTTTTAGAGCTTTTGTCCCTAACCTCTACTTACGTCCTCTCATTCCTGACCATGTGCCCATTCTTAGCAGCATACATGTGCCTGAGCTCACAGCCTCCATCTGTCCTTCCCAATTTGCTACTAGATTATGAACCTCATTCAGACTCAAAATGAGGACCTGAAGTTCTAGGCATTTGTGAAAATTATTTCAGCAGCCATATCTCTGCTAACACCCTGTATAATTGGGGCATGAGTATAGAGCTTATAACAAGTCTGATCCCCAGAAAAACAGTAAAAAAGGAAACTTTTTAGCTCAGTCATGTATGCTGAAAATTATCCAAAGCAAATGAATATTAATAGACAGTTTTGATTTCATCTCTTTTATGTTACAATTTTTTTTACCTTATATGTGATTTTTAATATGTTGCCCTCTTTTTCTGACTTTTTTTTTAGAGACAGAGTTAGTTGGTCGCCCTCAGTAGAGAGCCCTGGCGTCACAGCTCACAGCTACCTCCAGGACTTAGGTGATTCTCTTACCCCAGCCTCCCGAGTAGCTGGGACTACAGGTGCCCGCCACAACACCCAGCAATTTTTTGTTGTTGTTGTTGCAGTTTGGACAGGGCTGGGTTCAAATCTGCTACCCTCAGTATATGGGACTGGTGCCCTACTCACTGAGCCATAGGTGCTGCCCTCTGACCTCTAAAAGTTTTTTTTCCTCCTTAATCTTTAGAAATTTAATCTTTACAAATATTTGCACAAAGGTCCCATGTTATTTTGTCTGCTGTGAATTGTGGTACATTGTTGTTAATGTAACAACTGCAACAAGACCCTACCTTAGTTTCTAGCACTTGAAGACTATTGTTAGTTTCTAGCACTTGAAGACTATTGTCTTACTTTTTCCTTTGGATCTTTTGTGTACTATTTTCAACCTGTGTTTTCAATTAACGTGTCTTTTTCCTTTTGACAGGTCTGAAGAACTGTTGCCCAATTCAACAGTGCCAGCATTCCAACTTTGTTAAACCTAGCAACATCTTAAATGGACTTTCCTGTGGTGGTACCTTTTAAGAGGCGGATGAAAGCTACTATATCAGTTTGCACATTCTAATCACTTTCCAGTATCACAAGAGATTTTTACTTATATAATAGTCCTAGAGTATGCAGCTGGTAAAACCAGAGGCTACATCCAGTATTACTGCTAAGAGACATTCTTCATCCACCAATGTTGTACATGTATGAAAATGGTGTACTGTATACTTTAACATGTCCCATGCTTTGTATTGGAGAGTACAATAATGTAAATCCTGAAAGCACCACTATTTTAGCATAATAAAAGAAAGTCCAAAGAGCTCCTATATAGACTACTCCAGATAACTTCGCTTCTTTGATACTTGTAGCTTATTGTAATTTTTTTTAAGAAATTCAAGGTCATTATCATTGTATTGTACAAAATAAGCGCTTTGATTAACACAGCTGTATAGTTTTTTTAATTTTTAAAAAAACCTGTGGAGACAGTGATCTTGTCTTTAAAATATGATAGTCCTTTCAGTATAATGTCTTAGATTAAAGACGTTGCCTTTAATATCTGTTGGGAAGGAAATGTCCAGACTTTTCAAATCTCTTTATTATGTTTCCTTTTTTGTTTACATAGGGAACAATGTTTATAGTTGTGTGTACAGTGGGGGTCTACAACAAGAAGTGTATATTTTCAAACAATTTTTTAATGATTTCACAATTTTTGTAAATCATTTCCAGGCTTCTGCAGCTGTAGATTCTCACTGTGAATCCCTTGCTTGCTCATGCATAAGTGTATTTGCAATACCAAATATACAGGTTTAGTATTTTTGCCTGTTAGTGATTGTTTCACACGTGTAACGTTTTGGTTGAGATGTTAAATGGTGGACGAGTACTGTGGATGTGAATGTGGGAAGTAATTTTAATCATGTGTAATTGGTCACAAGGCCTAATTTGCAGTAACTATTGCTGTTTTATTTAACAATGCCTTGTTGTTTTGTATGCATTAACGTTTGGATGTAAAGATTGTGTGTCTATCCAACAGGGAGCCACAGTATTTAAATTGACCAACCTAATGTTACAACTACTTTGAGGTGGCCAAATGTAAACTAAAAGCCTTAATTAAAGTGGTGCAATTTTGTATAACTTAGCATCAGTAGTTCAATAAATTTGGATTGCCATGCAAGGGCTTGCATTACAATTACTTGCCACTTTGGATGTGTTTATGTAATGTTTTAACAGTGCTAGTAAATAAATATGGGTTTACTTTCTTTTTAAATGTAATAGGCACATTTTACACAGTGTGGTGTGGTTTCATAATTTTAACATTTAGGCAAGCCAGATGCATTCCTTAATTACAGGAATGATGAGTGGAATATGTCAAGTTTTTCCTAGTGGTGGTTGAATATCTACATAAGGACCTTTTCAACTTTTCCTAGAGAAAGAATTTTGTAAATCAAGCAATATTACTTACGAATAGATGCCTTTGGGTAATTTTCAGTAGTTCTTTGAGGTAAAAGAGAAAGAAAGGATTGAAAATGCTTTGACAGATGTTACACTTTGGATTTTTTTTATATAGGATGAAGTTATACTTAGAATATTGTGGTTATAAACTCTTTGAATAACAAACTCAACTACTACTTTTCTTAAGGGAACAGGTCTTTGTCTTTTGTGTGCTATGATTCAGTCCTTCTGTGAAATTTGTAAAGAACCTCTTAGAATTCTTTGAAGATATTTGCAAGTCATTAGATCAATTAAATTTGCGACGCTGTGTAATTTAGGGGAATCTGTTAATGCCCTGAATACATGCTATTTGAATGAGACACTTATAGGCGTCCATTTTAACAAGGAAAAATAATTCCTATTCCTTTTATACTTAACTCACAGAATTTCATGTATTAAAAGGTCTAAAGAAAAAAATGTTCTTTAGAAGCCCCACTTAAATGTTTTGGCAGAGTTGGATTTTATTATAGTCATTTGGAAGAAAGTTAAGCCCAAAAAAGGGAGGACTCCCATGGAGCATTAAAATCACTTTTTTTTTTTTTT